ACGGTCGTTTTCTTCAGTGAACCTCAAAGGTTAGTCCGCATGTTTTAAAACATGTTCAACTGCAGTCATTAATAATCACGACTTCTGCTCTACATTAATATGATATTTTCAGTTAATGTGCTCATTCGTTAATCTCCGCCTTCTTGGCACTGAGCCGGTCCAGTGGTCAGGGGATTAGCTAAGATTAAACGCTCATCTTAAGCAGAAGAGACAAACGTGAGCATGAGTAACCATGTGTATACAACAAGCAGCTGACTACAGCCGCACTTCAAAGGAACCTGACAGGCACATCAAATCACCTTCTCCCTCTCCCTCCCTCCCTCTTTCCCCCTCCTCTCTTCACAGGAAGTATTTCCTAGTGGTTTCTGTCATGGATGCCATTCTCGATGCAACACTACTTATTTATATGGAGCTTGGAACTGGCACTAGAAGAACACAAACAGGGGCCCTCTTGTGGTTGGGAAGAATAAGCAACTTAGAGTTAAGTGTGTTGTGGTTCGTGACTTGCAGTTAAGTGTTTTAGAGTTGGCCGCCTTCAGTTTACTGTGATTGGGTGGTTTGGGTGTGTGGGATGATTTTCTTAGGATTAGGTCTTTTTGCGATTGGGTACCTTGGTGTTGAAGTTTTCTTAGGTTAAATATTTGCTTGTATTTGTATTTGAGGGGTTCAGTGTTCTTCTGGCATTGGTTAACTTTGGGCTGAGTGTAGTTGGCTTGAATGTAGTAGGACTGTGTGTGTTTTAGGGTTAATAATTGTTAGTTTGAGTGTCTTAGGATTGAACGATTTGTGTGTGTTGTCTGTGGCTGAAACCTTTCGTTGGTGTTGTTATTGTTTGGTTGGTCTTATGGTGAGTATCTTGCAGGTAGGTGTCATGACCTTCAGTGCCTCAAAAGGTCATGACCACCTTATGCAGCACCTCCCCTTCTTTTTTTATCTCCAAAATCTTTTCAGAAGTCCACTACCCTTTTTTCACATCATCTTGTGACCAATTAATTATCAACTACCTTTTTAACTCTTCAAAAGGACATTTATCTTTACTAATCCTGTAATAAAATGTATTTAAACACTCACCTTAAACCTTATGCTTACGTTGTTGTTTCGAATCGTAAAATGTACAAACGAGGCGTGCTGTTATTCGGCTTGCACCACAGTAAACACTGCCAGATGTCACATACGTTGATCAGATTCTTAAAAGTACAGATGATATCGTTGTCAAACAGTCAATGTACAGCAGACCAAACCGGCTGGGGTTTTCCCTGAACTACAGCGAGATAGCTGAGCTGTATCTTATCCCAACTGAAAAGCACAAGGGGACTTATCTGATAAATGATGCAAGTATGCTTTTGCGAAACAAGGCCCCATGTGTTGTACGAGACTGTGACTCAGTTCTGTGTGTTTATGGCCCTCATTGGTACTTTGGGAGTTTCTGCAGATTCTGTGAAAACTGGTTCTGACCAGCTTTAGTGGACTAACAAATGGATCTGAAGAATGACATCGATCACTTTGTGCAGCAGATTTTTTTTTTTTTTATATATAATATCCAAAGGGAAACCCCCTTAAATTAGTCTTGGAAAGGCTTAACGTTTCAACATAAAAATCAAAAAGTCTAAAGGTGTGCAAAGCTTCAGCTATAGACAACCAAAAACAGTTTTTAAGGTTAGCCAAAAGAAGGTAACAGTCATGTTATGGATGTTATATTATGATACTGTTATGTTGTCTGTGTTGTAAAGTTGACCCTGACTATAGTTCAAAATCCTCAAAAGCTGTGTAATATTTCAAAGGGTGAAAAAAAGTCCCTGTTGACAAAGTGTTTTCCTTCATTCATGCCAAGCCACATAAAACAAGTTTTAAAGACAGAAGTCACAAACCACAGAGAACCTGTCCAAAAACCAGGATTGGTCCCTGGGATGACATTTGAAATGACAGATTAATCAGAACATGTCAAACAATACAGCTATGGATCTATTGCCTCTTTCTTCAGTTGGACAAATCATGCTTTGGTTTCAGTAAAAGTCCAGTGAATGGATTTTGACCAATGGTGCAGTTCGTTGGTGTGGTTCCCCTCGGCTGATGATGTTGTAAAGGCCGAGGAATTCTAGCAGAGAACAAAGATCTCACTGTGTGGCAGGGAAATCTCTTCTTCTTTATTTGGCCTCAGTGTGGTTTGGGAGTATTCTCACTCCGTCTTGCATGAAGCCTGTGCAGTCTTATGGAATGGAATAATGCAGAACATGCACACACACACATGCACACACACACACCCATAAAGTCTCTTAACTGGACTTGCACTCCACTCTTAATGGATCCTTTATTCAGCTGAAATGTCATAGAGTTATGTGCCGTAGGGGTCGCGTGGATGAGAGGTCAGAGTTCAGAGGTCGGTGGCATCAGATGAAGCAGCTGATTGTATGCTGGGGCAGCAGCTCTGGACGTCAGGAATGAATGAGTAGGCCGAAAGGCATCGGAGGGGCTGAAAAGGTCAAAGACCAGATGATCGGACGATCAAATGAGCTTTGTGCAAACATACAGTTTTGAAGCGTATTCCCACTGTCTTCTCCTGCTTCTCCTGCTTTTCTTTGCACACACGGGAGAATTAGAGCCAACTCAACAGATCTAAGGAATGTTTTAAAATGTGTTGAACACTTGCCCCACAAATGCATAGAGAGTGTATAGGTATAGAGTGTACACGACTCTAACATAAAAACCATATACCAAAATTCTTCAGTTTTGTCACTATATCAGTGTGCAACTATGGGTTGAAGCCCAAAGGTAGGAGACAAAAAAATGTGTATTATATATATTTCAAATATGTATATATATTGTTGGTGATGATGATAATAATAATAATTATTATTATTATTAGTAGTAGTAGTAAAAGTAATTAATTAAGAGCACTGTTGCACATGAAAGAACAGTATTTCATATTTAACCAGATAATCTATCCAATTTATATCATTATACAAACTCTTTATTAAAATTAATCTATATTTATCTATAAAATGATCTATAAATTATCTATAACAATCTATCCATATTTCTGTAAAATGTATAATATAATTTCTTTATATTATACAAACATTGTACAAACTTGTTTATTAAATATTTATTTACGGACTGTTTAGTAAGTTAAAACTGTATCTGATGAGGTTCACCTTAATAGAAACGTTTTGTCTTTCTTTTTTCATATTTGTTACTAGTGAATCCAATTGCTGTTTTAGAAAAAAGAGGATAATTAAATAAATTAGGCTTCACTGAGTTTAATTGTAGATGTTTTGTTGTGGGTCACTCAGCTGTGAAGAGTAAGACACAAAGTCTGAATCAACTTGTTTTAATCTAAGCATTTATAGTACAGCACATTTCTATTAAAATCGCTACTAATCGCATGCGCTGTTCACTACTGTCCTCTAGTGGCTAACTAAGCACAGGGCAGCCCCTAATATAAGTGAGCAAACTCCATTGACAGGAACAACATCAGAGGGATGGGAAATGAGGATGAGGATGATGAGGATTTTAACGACCCTGTTGGGAATTTGGGGAAAATCTCTATTGCTGTTACCAACTGTTTTTTAGAGTTCACAGCTATTATTATATTATATTCCACTTTTTTAGAGAGAAAAAAGAAAAAGAAATGGATTGATCATGAAGGAAAACACAGGATGGGAAATTTCACGTTAACAATAAGAGATTTTAGCCTGAGAACCAACTCACTCACTAACTGTGTCATAGGAGAATCCTACTTACATTTACAGTAACTCTGGATTCTTCAGCTTTCTGCTTCAGCAGTATTGCACAACAACAGGATACAATCCAACCCTTAACTACTGATTATCAATTTCAGGAGTTAAGGAGTTAATTTCAAGACTGTTGATACCTCATTTATAACCTCCAATAAAGAGGCATTCCTCTAAATCAGTGAATTTAAACCTACAAATGCTTTGGATTCATTTCTGTTTTGTGTTTACTGTGTTTCTGAGTTTTCTTTCTTTCTTTCTTTCTTTTCTTTTCTCTTTTTTTATTTTCATCCCATTATGATAAAGCTCTGCTCCACTGATTCAAACGGTTCCCCCCAGGTTCAACAGTCACAATGATAAAGTGCTCACCTGCCGTGTTAATAAAATCCTGAGACCCTTCGAAAGAGCATTTATGTTGTTAGTCGACACATTTTATGAATTTAATTAACCTCCCGTGGTCAGGTTATTGTTCATGTACACACACCACGCACCACACTTATTTGTTATACCCAAGCTTTAGCCACATGTGCATAATTCCTTTTTTATTGCACAGGAACAAACTGAGAGGAATGTGTCCTTTTTGCAGATTGTCAGTTATGATACATAACATATTTTTTATTGCACAGGAACAAACTGAGAAGAATGTGTCCTTTTTGCAGATTGAAAATACATATCATACAGTAACTACAGCTCCGAGAAAGGCTGCCATCAGACAGCTTTAGTTTAATCATTCAGAGGATCATAATTTAGGTTAAGTCAGTTTTAAAAGATCTTAAATAATCTTTTTTAGATTATTATAATTAATAGGTAAAATAATATTAATAAAAAACATTGTAAGTATTTTATGTTATGGAAGCCTATTTTTGGTTATCATGACAGCATTTCTCATTTATCTTTATAATATTGATCTTAAAAATATATTTAAAATTTGTAAATACATAAACCTATTTCTCCTAATTTTAAATATTCAAGACAACATTTTTTAATTTGTGTTTCATCCTCTTCCTCTCATTTACGTCACACTTGTAAAAGAAAAGTCTGATTTCATTGACCTTTTAAATTAGTGTTAAATAAAGATAAAAATATAATCTCCTTTACATTAATGAAGTGCCCTGTTGTCAACACCCATAATTCCACACAGCCTCAGTGTGAACCACCAGGGATTATGATGTTGCTGGCAGTAGGTAAAGGCGGAGGGGGAGGAGTCGGGAGGTGTGGGTCTAATTTAATGCTGCCTTCACCCCCACTTTCTCTCCTCCTCACCTCCTTTCCTCTTCTCCCTCTGCTCCCTGAAGAAGCAGGGACACACACAGAGTCTCCAGAAGGAGCCGATTCAGAGACTCAGCTGCACCTGTTCCTGCAGAAGCATCTAAGCTCATGAGGACCAAGAGGCTGCTTGAGATGAAGTAAGTCTGTCTTATATGTCCTTACATGCAAGTAGAGTCAGGACCATCATCAGGATCTGTGTGTTTATAATCTAGAAATGATAGAGTAGGGTTCAAAGCTGCTTTCCTGTTAAAAGACAACCATTGTAACTCTTAGCTCCACTGAGTCACATCCCTGGGACTTTGTTTGGATACGGTGTATTTGAACGTATAAGGTGTTATATTTTCTCTTGTTTTAAAATTTTAAAATATAAACATTTCATCAACCAAACTTTTTTTTTCTTATATTCTGCTACACAAATAGATTTGCCTTTCCTAGAAAGCATCCAATTCTAGGAACTCCATGAAGGACCGTACCACCTCCCCACAACCATTCTGTTTCTTTACAGCAACAACTGCCCCTGTTACCCTTGTCCACCTCCTCCACCATACCACCCACCCAGTCACACATCACCCCACCTGAAATGGCTCAGAGTGCCCATCGCCAGGGGCAACCTCCTTCCCCAGACCCCAGCTGACAGGAAACTGGGGCTGGCACAACTAGAAGCCTCTCAGCTAACTAGGTGGCACGACAAAAAAAAAAAAAAAAAGGATCCATAAAACAAGTGGTAGAGTGGTAAAAAAATGGCTGAACCTCAAGCAGTAGCTGTGAACTGGCTACCCAGAGAACCACAGGGTTCAACGTTTAACAAGAGCAACCACACTCAGGGTTTAAAGACTTTTGACCTCATGTAGACTTGTCTGCACTCAGGATGTGTTGCTGGAACAACACCACATTCAACATCTGATCTCTGTGACCTGCTGCTCCTGCTGAGGGCCACTGAGCTGTTTGTTGGAGTCTGATAGAAATTTCCAAGCCATGAAATAACAGTATCAGGACGGTTATTTTGACACAATAGGCGGGGACTCAGGTCTTTACAAAGAGAAAGTGAACAAGAGAACATGTTCCTAATGATCAGTGGGGTTTAACTGTGGGTTCCAGATCTTCTTCTAAAGGACTGTTGTCAGTCTGGATAAATAGTAGGACTTACATGAGGACAGTCTCTGCTCAAGCCAAAACATGAGCAGGTGATCAGCTGTGGTGAAACTCTGCAGCTTTCATCAACTTACAGGATGTAAACTCATTAAACCCATTAACATCAGACATTTAATGTAAGACAGGAATCAGAAGCATTGAATCAGTGTGTTGTTAAGAATTGTATTTTGTGTTCAGCACGAGGACCTGTTGCTTAGAATGCTAAGGCTTAAGGATGTGTGAGTCATTGAGTTTCTGAGTGAAGTGACAAATGGGACAAACTCTCACAAAGCTGGTGCCAGTCCTCTGAGAATGTAGATCACTTCCCCTCCTTCCCTCCTTAGCAGCCTCCCCCATCCTCCTTCCAGCCTTAAATGACCCCTCCTGGCAGAGTGAGCTGTCAACCCCCACCCCCACCCCCCTCTTGGCCCTGGCCTTGTTCCCCTCAAGGTGAAGTCACTGACTATTCAGCCACTTGTGAATGTGGAGCGTCTCTTTGGACTGGTGATGTTGCCTGGGATGCGTCCTTTTCTCATCTGTGTTATCTGTCTGTCTCTGTGTCTCTGGTCCATTTACTCTGCTCAGTGCACCAGATGAAGGATATTTGGACGACAGAATAAAGATGTGAATGCTAGACTTTGACTGAAGATGTAACCTAACCTAAAAAACAGAAAAGGTGTTGATTTTATGAACCAATAAACAAACTCAGTCCTTCTTGTTCCTTTTAAAACTAAATTAAATAATGATAATTAATTAGATTTATTCTTGTGATTTTTATTGTTTATTGTTATCTCTAAGCAAAATAAGATGTTGTATATTTAGGTCTAAACTCTCCTGAAAGCAGCGTTTCCATCAGAGTTATTACTGGTTTTAGTAAGTTTTAGAAAGGGAAAGAAAACACTGGATTTTCAATAATGACCAACAATCCTTTTACCTCGGCATTGCCTCCACTTGGAAAAATCTTGCATTTTTCCAAGGAATAATTGTGTAGAGCAATTGTGCAAAATACACGAAGCTGCAGATTGGAGGCTGTGGCTTCAGTTGAACTCCCCGGGGGAGTTGTTTTTTCATGATCAGAATTCAGCTCACACCCTGCAGCTCCTAGAGTCTGGATCACAGCAGCTGAAGCTTTAAGGACACACAGGAGTCCGTCTGTCTGCTACACACACCGTCACATGACCAGCACTCGTCCTGCTCACTCTTAACCCTTGTTTTTAACCTCACCTTATCAGCGTCTGTGGGACATTGGCTTTTAAATGTGTATTTTGTAGTCCACGACTGGAAGGTCAAAGCGACAGCCTTGTCAGAAGGAAACTAGTATATAAAAGTAAATAAAAAGGTTGAATCAGTGACTACTTCCTGCTGTATTTTCCCCACAGACTGAACCAGCGTCTTCCTGTGCTGCTGCTGTTCTCCATCTGTCTCCTTGTCCTGCCTTCGTCCTCCACCCCCCACCACGACTCAGGTACATTATTCTCATCTCCATTCATTTTTACATCAAAATGACAGTAATGGGTTCCTATGAATCACTGCTCATAGGAAGAACAAATCTGTCCTCTCTTTATTTATTTTCTAAGAATGCTAATAGTAACCAAGATTAATTACATAAATTATAGTTATAGATAATAATAATATTTGTACTTATATAAAATATAGATAAAACCTTCAGTCCATCGAGTTTATTTGACAAACATAAATGGTCGGCAGTTCAAGTCTTAGTTGAAATCTTTCCATATATGTGGGTTTTCCTTAAAAACAGTCAAAAACAATCAGCAGATAAGGGGTTAAGGTGAGTAGTGAAAGCACTGAAACTGATTCAGTCAATATCACTGGAGGCCCCTCAAAGCCAGAGCTCCAAAAACTAACTTCTTTGAATGTAACTCTGAATGTACTTGTCTCTTCTTAGATGACTCCAAACTTCTACAGGTGACCATCGCTGACCCCAATCCAGTGGCTGTGCTGGGGGGCAATCTGACGTTACCCTGCTTGGTGTCTGTCACCCATCTTCTGCCGTCTCCCTCCACCAACGGACGTCACGCTGTCCTCACTCTTCCCCGGATCAAGTGGAGTGTACTGACTCACGGTCGAGACACAGAAATACTGGTAGCGCGTGGGGACAGAGTGAAGGTCAGCGAGACCTTCAAGGATCGAGCCTCACTGCTGAACTACGCCTACTCCCCTGCTGACCTCACCCTGCAGCTGGAAGACCTGAGGCAGAACGACACAGGTTTCTACCGCTGCGAGGTACAGCAGGGCCTGGAGGATGCTAACGATGTGGTCCATGTTAAAGTCAAAGGTCAGAAACAGATGAACTAGTAAAAACTAGTTCTTTTTACCCATGATACATTTTTACCATTATAAAACATGTTCAGTGGCATCAAGGGTCATTTTATTAAAAGTTTAGTTAGTTTCAGCTATCCCTGAGTGTATATAAATGTGGAGCTATGGCCTCGGTCCAATCTTATCTGGTTTGGAAACTACTTTTAGTAATAATTTGAACTAACCACCAGTCAGTGTGCTGACTTTAAGGTAAGATTTCTTTTACAATAGTTTTCTTTGGTAAGTTTCCTCCACCACATTATAATAAGAAAGTGAGTTTTTATTTCAGAACACATAAAAAGAATGAATTCAATCATTTTCCAGGGGTAGTGTTTCATTATCGTGATGCATCCAGTCGTTACGCCTTCACCTTTGAGATGGCCAAAGAGGCCTGCAGGGAGATCGGTGCAGAAATGGCTTCTCCAGAGCAGCTCCTGGCTGCGTACCACAGTGGATATGAGCAGTGTGATGCTGGCTGGCTCTCAGACCACTCTGTGAGGTGACGACTTCTGTTGAATAGATTTAATATTTCTTTTTTTTTTCTGGTACTGATGGCATTAGAGTGTGTCTGGTTGTCTCATACGAGTCAGTTCTTTGCATTGCATTCAAAAACACACACTGATGATTATCAAAAGCTAAGTTTCACTCACTCCTTCAATCTGGAACCAAACATTTTCTTTACTTTAGATAAACTTCAGACAAAAGCTAAGCTAATATGACATAAGATTTATATATAAATATTCTTCTCTGTGTTGTCTCTTTGACAGATATCCCATTCAGATGCCCAGAGAAGGATGCTTCGGGGACATGGATGGGACTCCAGGTGTAAGGAACTATGGGCTGTTGGAGCCTGATGAGCTGTATGATGTTTACTGCTATGTAGAAAACATTGAAGGTATAAAAATCACCAGACCAATAACAACTAAGTGTTGTTTTCTTCTTCATTCACTTGACTTGTTTTTTTTTTTTTTACATGTCTTTATGTGAAGGTGTGGTGTTCCATGGCTTCGCTCCCCAGCGTTTCACCTTCTGGGAGGCCAAGGCTTACTGTCTGAATCATGGGGCAGAACTGGCCACCACGGCTCAGCTGTACGCAGCCTGGAATGAAGGCCTGAACCACTGCAGTCCTGGGTGGCTGGCAGATGGAAGTGTGCGTTACCCCATAGTCACCCCTAGAGAGCGCTGTGGTGGTGGTGAACCTGGTGTTAGAACGGTCTATCGATACAGCAACCAGACGGGCTTTCCTGAGGCCCACACACATCATGATGTCTACTGCTTCAGAAGTATGAGATCGACTTTGGAACTGACAGATTACTGTTGTCTTCAGGATTCATTCTAGTCATGGAGTTGTAACATCGATACGTGTGTGTGTGCTCTCTACTCTTTTTCCACCAGGTGATAACAGCTCTCACACTGAACACACAGAATCATCACATATCCAGGATTATTTGACCACTGATCCACAGGATGTGGTTTTCTCAACTAGTCCAGCTGAGGATGAGGTTACCTACAGTGAGGTGACGTCAACGGTGGGTGAGGAGGTGCTACATGTCCAGACAGTCAGTGTTGTAAAGCAGTCTCCTGTGGAGGCTCAGCTCCCAACACAGGCCTATGAGGAAGAGTCGTTGTTCACAGAAGACTTTCATCAGACCGTCACCTCCACACCTGATCACCAAACTTACCCGACCGCCAAAGATACCTGGGAGCCTGTACAGAAGGCCAGCTATCCAGAGGCCTATCAACCACAACCAGAAGATCCAGAAGCAGATGATACTGATTCACACGAACAACCAACACTGTCAGATGTTACTGGTGTGGTAACTACTCCAGAGGAGTCAACTTTACCAACAGTTGTTGGAACAGATAGTGAGACCCACACCCTGAATACACCAGGAGTTACTGAAACATCTGGATCTGACTGGGAAGAGTTGGTGAACAGTTCTTCAGGTGAAGACCATGCTCCTCAGGTCCCCTTCAAACCAACTTTAAAAACTCTGCTCTTCTATTCTACCACCACCCACGATGTCTCTGAGCAGACAGGAGAAACCAGCACAGGATATACTGATGAGGTGACCACAGTGTCGACTTCATCTATTGTTGACTTCACTACGCCCCCTGCTGACCATCTGACAGAGGTGGCGCACAGAGACACAGACACTGGTTCTCATAAAGATGAAGCAGTAGTTAAGAGTTACTCTGACACAGGGACTTCATCCTGTGTGGAACACCTGTATGTGACTGAGTCAAGTGAGTAGCTTTTTCTGCACTTCTGTTAGGGTTGTCTGCTGAAGATAACAGTACCATAATACATGAGTAGAAGCTCAAAAAAGGGATTATTGTTCATAACAGTCTTAAACAGTACAAGAGCCATTTTGGTCATTTCACCACAAAAAATAATCCACCATGAGCTGCAAACATATCTCAACCATTCAAAGCAGTAGTGGAGAGGTTAGCACAAAATACACATTTCTGCATACAGGCAGTAATCAAATGCCACTGAAAAAGCATTGTTTTCTACTGTTCTTATTAAAGACATCCAAGGTAATTTGACCCGTTTACAAACATCAAATTTGATCATGCTCAAGAGCCACAAGTTGCAGAGCCCTGACGTTAGCATCTCTTGATGCATTTCCCTTCTTGTTAGTATAAAATAGCTGATATTCTTTTCTATTCAAAGGTTATTATCATAACGGATGGATAAAGGAATCCTTTACTCCAGAGAATCATGATGAGGATGAAAGCGGAGAGGAAGCAGATCCTGCAGAGCAGAGTGGACAAATCCAGTCTACTTCATCAGGAGCGGAGGCCATTCTAGTCACAGACGACTTCAACTCTAATGAGGATCTTTCTGCTCAAAGATCTAATCCTGTCAGTTTAGCAGCAACTGTAACTCTGTCTCCTCTCACTGCAGAAATTACATCTCTAGAAATGACCACCTTGATGGCCAATGACAATACTTCACCAGTGAATGAGTTAGTGGAAGAGATTCAGTTAGAGGTCAACCAAGGTTTGGGACAAAGTCTAGAATCCTTTATCAGTTCAAGGCCAAATATTACAGACAGTGATCCAAAAGATAAGAACCAAGAAGCTGAGGATGGATCAGGTGAATCATTAGAAGATAATATGGAGATAGAACCAGGAACAGAACCTATGGTGACAAGCCCAACTATCCCAACTGAACCGACCCCTGAGAGGGCCCGTAGTGAAGCTCACAGCGATGCTTATTCAGACGTCACGATCAAAGTGATCCCTCATCCAACTGTCACTCCCAGCTGGGATCTAGAACCTTCTTCCTCTACGCTGCTGGAGTCTCGCTCTGATCGAGAATATAGCGCTGAGACCTCGGCTACAGAGGACACAGACAGCATCTCAAAGGAGCCAGATGTGATCACCCTGAACTGGAAACAAGTACCAGACTCTCAAAAAAACACAGACAACATCTCTACAGAGCATGAGGTCATTACCACCAGCATCTTCGACGGTAAGTTGAAGGATTCTTCCTAAACTACTGCTGAGAAAACCCCTCATTTTTGGAGACACAACAAAAAGCATGTTTTGAAAAACGGTACCTAGACCAAAACTCAAAAGGTTTTACAAAACTTTCAAAACAAGTACAGTAAATATATCTTTGTTGCCAGCAGACAGTAAATGTGGGTAAATGTGAATAATGCTACATGTGTTTTCAGCTTAGTCTTACAAAGAAAACAGATCATTCTCTCAACAGTTTGCCAAACCCAGTCTGCAGCTAAGTAAACCAGTCACAGGCAAAAGAATGCCACTGATGCCTTCAGTGTCCTAAAAACACCCGCAGACTGCAGCATTCTGTAAGCGTTACGGTTGACACACTGGGTGCACCTTTGACTTTGAGCCGCTTGGTAGCAGTGTTGCCTATTATCAAAACAGCTCACAGATCATACGCAGACATAAAGATGTTAGCATGTAAAGCCTAAAAGATTAAACTGTGATTCAACTGTTTCAAAACAAGACATTACGTCGCATATGTAATGTTTTTTAACGTGAACAATTTGAGATTTAGCAGGAAATTTAGCAAAAGATGCAACTGTGTTGGCTGCATGACAAGCTGACGTAGACAGGTTTTAGCTCATAAACTCTGCTCATCACATTTAGTGAGTTTTTCCATTACAGGGAAATAACAGTAGTAAAGCTAGCTACACATCTTTGTTATTTAGTTGGTCAGTAACCAGTTTTTTCCAATCCACCAGTTTTTTTTAATGATTATGATCCATATAATTTATGATTGTCTTTAATTATTTTAATAGAACTCGGACATGCTCCAGTCAAAGACAGAACAGCCACAGTCCAGCCATCTGAGGAAACACACACTCTGGATGGTGCAGCTCCTACTGTGGACCTCTATGGACAGTCACTCACGCCTCCTTCACTGTCCTCTGAGGATTTTGAACACAATAATGATGTCGATGAAGAGGAGGGTGAGGAGGAAGAAAAGGTCGACTCCCTGCCTGCTGAGCGTCCAGGAGCCATTTCAGGTGCTTTAATATGAAAGGGGGGGGAAAAAAACCCTCCAACCAAGAGAGGGATTAATTTTCTAGAAAATCACAGGGATAGCCGAAGGATTAGTCTGACATTTTAATTATGACTTGGAGAGGAATTTAACAGGAGCTCACAGCTAGAATCTACTCAGTGTACAACAAGGAATTCTGGTGACACTGGCCTAATGTAAGTTTATGACTTACCTAATAAACTAATATAATAATAATTAGACTGAAGCATTTCAGGATTATTTTTTTCAGTTTCTGTTCCTAGTTTCTGTTCCTTTTAATGTGTGTAAAAATATTTTAAAAAGAGAACTGTATTTTTATTGAGCATTTGCAGATGACTGTGTGAGACATTTTCAGATTTAAATATTCGTATAAAAATAACTTCATAACCTGATAAGAACCATAGAGAAAAAAGAAAAAAATCTCATATTACTGTAACTCTGAATTGTATTAATGGAAATAAATACACAACATGGACTTTTTAACCTGCTTAATAAAAATACATTTTAATGCTGACATGTAGGTAAGCAATACTGGCGGCCAAACTATAATTTCAAGTGGAAACCTCGTCTAGTTCCTAATTTAATATCTCCCCCTACTGGACATTATGTGAACTTCAGAAGGGCTGTCTTTGGGGAAATGCTGTGCCATACATGAAAAGGGTTAAAGTTGAACACCCGAGAATCATCCCCTGGACCAATGAGCTACATACGTTGGTTACGTTATTTAAAACTGTGAATAATAATGAATGCCAGAGTCAGAACGTGAACTCAGTTGTGTTTATATGCAATAATTTATTTATTATTTCTCCTTATGTGATCAGTTGCAGACTCCTGTTTGGAGAACCCCTGCTTTAATGGAGGCACCTGTGTTGAGGGTGAATCAGTCAAGTGCATTTGTCTTCCTGGGTACCAAGGAGACTGGTGTCAGAGAGGTATGGCATCAAACACACCTTCGCCTTGAACTTTTATAATAAATCCCAGGTCAGTTAATCCTTTTCTTCTTCATGTGTGTGTCAGACCTGGAGGACTGTGAACTGGGCTGGGAGAAGTTCCAGGGCTTCTGTTACCGTCACTTTACAAAGAGGCAGAGCTGGGAGGTGGCTGAGCAGCACTGCAGGATGAACAATGGTCACCTGATTTCTGTCATGACCCCAGAAGAACAGGACTACATCAACGGTAAAATGTTTCTCCATATATATCCATCGCAGTACTAGTTCCTGGTACTTACAGTGGCTCTGTTTCAGTTTCTGGTACTGATGCTCACTAACTGTATTCATCAGAAACTACTTCTTGAATGAATACAGAACTCTCTTATGTATTGCATTGTACTGTATTTCACAATTTGAAAAGAAATGCAGGCATTGAAACAATTCCTACTCCATGAAGAGTCATTTCTAAAATAATAATAAAAAACCAATCCTTTCCTTTCCTGCAGTTGCTGAAATTTAAGCGACTAAGATTTATTCTTAGCATTCCATGTTGCTGTTAAAGGTTAGTGTTTTTATAACTGTCAAAAACAAAACAAAACAGGACCACCTTTAATGTCTTCCACTGAACCGATGAGTTTCCATGGTGTTGGTGTTCCCTGTGTTACCACAGACATAACTGAGAGATAACATTCCTCTGGTGGTTCTTCATGCAGGTAGTTCAGACGTTCACACAGTGATCACTTCACTGGAGGCAAAAAACAAATTTAAAAACAACTTTGGAAAGAGGTTTATTTAGAACATCACATGGACACAAACGTTACTTTTTTGTTGTTGTTTTTCTTTGCCAAGAGGTTACTAATTTACTAGTTTTCTAATTTTCAAGTATGCACTGGAGCCATCCAGGGCACATTCAAATAACTGCATTTGTTTGACTACCTGATCTTACCTTGGTCTGATTTGTATCCACCTACAGTTTAACAGTTCAACTTCACTGTCCAGCTGACCGTCCAAGAACATTTAGAGTGGATGTTTGGTTTTTCTAGATGCCATATTAGTTCAAATGCTGCAGTGCTTGGTTTGATAGCATTAGATCGCACTTCACACACTGGGCTCTTAGCTCTGCCTCGTTGGCTCTAAACACAAAGCCAAACCTAATGAATTTGTATTTTTACTTCCTCAAAATGTATTTTTTTAAGTGGATTTGGAACCACTTTCATCTTCAGTTTACCTTCTAAGTGTCTTCTTCTGCTTATTGGAGCTTGTTAAACATCTGAATGAAACATTGCCACCACTTAGTGGTGGGAGGCGGTATTGTAACAAGCATCTCATGGAAAACAGTGATATTTCTATTGTCATAAATTGATCAACCAATGTTTTCCTGTGGCCCTGACAAACCTAAAGTTTTTACATCTGGCCTATTGGTTAAGAATCATTGGTTTAGACTAGAGTGAGAGGTAAGAGACAAGTCCTACTAACTTAGTCTTCAGTTTCGGCTCAGCACAGAACACAATAACTACTCAAACTGTTCCAACACAATGAATTATGAGAGTTTACCTTATGATTTGTTTCAGAAAAGTACAAAGAATACCAGTGGATTGGACTGAATGACAGAACCATAGAGGGAGATTTTCGCTGGTCAGATGGAAATCCTCTGGTGAGTTAAGGTGGTTGTGACCTGTGGTGGTTAAGGAGGATTGTTGAACAGTGGATTAAAAGTTAATGGAATCGTAATCACACTTCAGATTTAGCTGTGAGTTAACTCCTACAATCAAAGTGTTTCCAGGGGAGTTAAGGCTTTACTTACTCTATTTCCTGTTAATATGTAGCAGATGCTGTATGATACTACAAATGAATGCAAAATATAAAAAGGCTGTGAAAGAGAAAGGTGTAAGGAGTGTTAATCTAGTGTAATCCAGTTGATTCTGTTCATGACAGCTGTATGAGAATTGGTACAGGGGCCAGCCTGACAGCTACTTCCTGTCGGGTGAGGACTGCGCAGTGATGGTGTGGCACGATGGTGGCCATTGGAGTGACGTACCATGTAACTATCACCTGTCCTACACCTGCAAGAAGGGAGTCTGTGAGTTCACCTGTTCTGGTTTGATCCATTTAAATCCTCTCATGGTGATTTGATTCTAATGTCTTGTTTAACTTCTTTCCAATAAAGCCTCATGTGGCGAGCCTCCTCAACTTCCCCACGCTAGAGTCTTTGGGAAGAAGCGTTCGCGCTACGAGACCAATGCACGACTGCGGTACTACTGTGATGAGGGTTTCATTCAGAAACTGAATCCTGTCATCAAGTGCCTGCCCGGTGGCCAGTGGGAGGAGCCTCTGATCACCTGCATACCAAGTGAGTTACCGGAATCTCCATCCATCCATCCGTCATCCATGAATTTGAATGTAATTCAAATAATTTTTTCTTCCAGGAGCTAAATCCATGGAAGACACCTCCATCACCTCACTGCCTAACCAGCATGCTGACGTGACGGAGGACTTGGAGGCCACAGACGTCATGGATGAAACCATGGAAACAGTAACACCAGTGATTAGAGACATTAACTGGACCATGTAGACTCACTTTGCCTTTAATTGTTTTTAATGCTTGATACATTCCTTAAGTCTTTTCAGACCATTATATTTTAAATTGATCTGTTTGGATCTGAAACATGATGATGTTTTATATTAAAGAACTTGCTTTTCGGTCTCTAGACATGGTAAGGAGGAACAACCAAGCTAAAGTCAATTATCTTCAACTGCAGGGTGAGCCGGGACAAGTAGTGTGTGCAGAGTTTACGCTGGATGGTTAGCTGGTCCATTGCAGGACCACATGTAGAGACAAACAACCATTCACACTCTCATTCATACTTATGGTCAATTAAGAAGTTAATATAATCCTGATTGCCTGGACATGACCAACCAACACCCCTAGTTTTGAATCTATAGCCATAAAGAATAAAAGAAAATTCTTAAAACAAAACAAATCCAATACTGTGGTCAGATGTACAATATTTCAAATGCATTCATTTTAGACCAGAAATCTACGTTATCACAAAGAAAACACACTGGACTGTAGGGTTCAACCACAGGCCTCTTAATGAAACGTAAAACATCTCAATCCTTCATGTGTTTCTTGACACTTGAACTGTACTGTATCTGTACATCGACATCATCTTCCATTTGTAGGTAAATAGATGTAGCATTGCTGGTAAAATATTTAGTTTTTGTTTTAAACTAATACTTTTCTAAACTTGAATCTATGTTTGATAAAGTGTTTATTGTACAGTAGGTGAAGGATGTGATGTGATGAGTACAACTTAATATACAGTAACTGTGATTAGCCCTAACAATGATGAAAGACTCTTGTGAAAAGAAAGAATAAACACCAGAAGTCTCACACCTGAACATGTCTTTAATAACTTAGTAGGGCAGGATTAATGGCACCCAGCCTGTTAGTTCTAGAACAGTTAAAAATGAACACTGGTTTTTTAATGCATGATTGTGTTGTGTTTGGTTTTGCACCCTTTACTTCCACTCTCTGGTTGTTCCCATGCACTGTCCATTAGAAGGAGAAAGGATAAAATCAGACCAGGGAGCATATGTTAATACATGTAAATTATTCATTTTGTTTTTCCACTATTATTGAATAATTTGCAAAACTGTGAAATATCAAAGCGATGTGAAATACGTGAATGTGGTCAAATCTAATTGCAGCAAATGCCACTTATCAGTCATACCGTACTGACCTACATGTGTACTGCATTTGTTTTCTCGGTCAATCACCTTACTGCGTTTTTAACGAGGTTAGGCTTTGTCTTGTGCAACAGTGAGGAGAAATGATGTGTAGAAATGTGGTGATAAAACGATGCGTACTTTGCACATGTGTTATAATCTATAACAATAGGCTCCGTAAAGGTGTGTTGTCTTGTCAGGAAATCCAAACGTACGCACTCCTGCCTCATAAGTGCTTCCACAGCGCTCTCTAGGGTTCCGGATGGGGAATCGAACACTGCCGTCTCTGAGCCACCCACCGTCACACTGGTCATAATTGTGGAAGTACCAGGCGGCATAAAGCTGTCCAACTAAGGCTAACTCAGCCGACTGACGTTGACATGCGTGTGTCGCCTGCTGGAAGGAAAAAGCCCCTGATATATAGTAGACGACGCCTGTAAAAAAAAAAGGACAGAAGCAATGGAAGTTTCCAGAAACAGAGGAGAGTCAAGTGTTTTCCCACTGGTCCCAGCCGTTATTGTCCTCCACCTACTATTGGGGGCCTACCATTTAACATTTGCTGCTGAAGGTCAGCCCCTACTGTACTGCAGCTGCTCTGGCCAGTCAACTGATGAGGAGCTTACCAGACATCTGAGAGGTGAAGCAGAAGGCATCGAATTGATCTCGCTGCTTGTTTTTTGGTCCATAACTGCGAATGCCAGGAAGTGGTCCTCCCCCACAGACGGGTCGAGGATAGAGGATTGGGTACTGGACAGTCCCGTCAGCAAGCCAGCCCGCATTACACCAGTCCAGACCCTCCGTCCAGGCTACAGGAGAAGACATGTTTAGATTAGGAACGTTGGAACGGTCCATACACTGAAACTGATGCATCCTACCTGTAATGGATCTGTGCCCCGCCCCCTACTTTGTGACCTGGTGTCTCAAGGAGTTAAAAGATAGCCTTTACTCTTGTTACATTTATTTTGCCTCATATAATTGCAGTACATGGACCTATAGCCTAGAAGCTAACGCTCTTGTCCTACTCTTTTGGATTCACTCTTCAAGCCAAAAGGCTATGTCCATTTTTCGTATATAGTTTTTGAGTCATTACCTCTGTAGAGCTGGTCATACGTAGCTAATATTCCATCTTGTTCAGCACAAACAGCCCTGGCCTCATGGAAAGTGAGTTTGTAGCGTCCATTTTTGCTCTGGTATGGGAAAACCACACCTAGAAAGAGGAGCCATCTAGTCTTCACTTTAATTATGACATTTTCTTCACCAATTGTCTAGATATTGAATGTTTTCCCATAATGTTGAGTTATAATGATAATGATGAAGTTGCTCTTGAAGTTTTTGCTTGAATTACCTTCAACCCTCAGAGTGATCTGAACACTCTCATCCTCGATGCCATTGATCAGCTCACATCTATACGCGCCACTGTCTCCCAGCTCCAGATTCGTCACCGTGAGAGATGCGTCCAAGCTGTGAGCATTCCGAAGAGACGCCCTCAATCCGAGATGACCGTAAGGCTTGAAGGCGTGTGAATTTGAAATCATGATGATGTTCTCCGGCCCCACGTGACCTGGCTGCAGCTTGGTCCACTTGACTTTGTAAAAGTTGGGTTTAGATTGCAGAATACACGGCAGTGTGACATTATCTCCCCTCCGTCCAATGACCTCAGCGAACACAGGAGGGTTGATCAGATACTTCAGCTTCCTGGGCTCTAGCGCTACAGACAAAGAAGAGCCGGCAAGACTCCCTTGCCTGCTGATAAGTCCTGTTTAAAGTCAGATTATTTTTTACAGAGTTGAGACTGAAACAAACTCAGACATCACAAGGTCAAAGTCAGAAACTTTACAGGACCACTACCATGTGATACTGGAGCAACACACAAGTTCTGTTAATGAGACATTTTTAACTTCTTGTCCTCACACAAGATTTTGGTTTTACTCTGCTTCTTGTCAGCCTAGTTGGAAATGGTTTCTAAATTTCCATTTTCAGCAAAAGCTGAATATTGGCTATTGTTTTCTATATTTGTCAATTTTTATTTTATTTAAATTGCTAGTTACAACCTTCACAGAAACTCTTTAGTAAGCCAACTATTTATTATTTATTTATTATTTATTATTTAAGATTAATCATATTGAAATTCATCAGGATATGAACACAGTGTCGTGGTCCTAGTGTCTGCCCCCTCTCCTCTGTTTGTAATTACGTCTCATTGGTTGCAGGTGCTGTGAAACTGAACCACATGGAGACTTTGATGTTGATTACCAACTTTAACAACAGACGTTGTGATCTTGAATGTGAGATACTAGGTCTATGTAGTTCCTGATATTCTTGACATTCATTCCTTTTTGTTTTGTCTGTTTACCTTCTGTAACCTGTTGTTTTTTATTCTGCAGTGAAGTCCTGTTTGCTGACTGCAGTCACATGTGCTCACTGGTTTTGCCTGGTCTTCTGTGAATCATCCCTGTCAGGTAAACTCTGTCCTTCTCCTTGTTCTGTCTGCTCATTTGTCCTTACCTATTTTAATCTGTGTTACTTTGATTTGTTATTTGAAGTTAATGTTAAACTGCACCACCCCATCATTACTAGTTAAATTAAATTTGAGTTTATTTTATTATTTAGAGTTACAGAGAGACTCTTTAAAGGGATTGTTAATAATTTTTCTTTACAGCAGTGTTGACTCTGCTGAGTCTAGCTACCAACCTAGAAACACAGTCACCTGATTGACTGTAAACATTTCACTGTTATTGTGTAAGAAACTCTAGGTCAGAGGGTGAGACTGTTTTTATTAAAATGGTTTTAATTCCTAGCTTCACTAGCTTTTGTGTCTTAATTTGATAGGAATAGACAACATTTTTTGTTTGAGGTGTAACTGAATTAACTGACAATTTATACCAACCATTATTATACCAACCATAAATTGCAAAGATTAAATAAATAGTGGTACCTTTTTACCCCAGGGGACAAACTGTATATGGCAGTTGGGAGGACATGAAATTAAACACAAACTTTCACAGAGCATTTATTTTACATGCAACAAACCATAATATTTATGGCTAATTACTCCATGTAATAATGAATGTCACATCACAGTAAAGTGTTCAGATGATGGTCATGAAGAAAACACTGTGCCAGCTTTTACCTGCACTGCTGGTGCTGTGTTCAGCTGTTGACCAGGTGATGCAGCATGATGCTAAAAGCAGGAGTAAAGCCCAGTTCATTTTGAAGGTCCTCACGATGTCTTTTCCTGTGGGAAAAGACATCAGCCATCATCTCTGTCCTCCAAACACCAGCTGACCGTTATCATTTCACCACTACATGGTCATATTGAATTTATTCAACAAAACTGTGAAAATATATGATTGGTTCAAACCTGTAAAGTTGATAAGATCCATTTTTCCAGTTGTCCTTCTCTGCGGTCATATCATGATGCTAATATTTGGTCGTCAGAAAGTTCACAGATCGCCCATCACATTATGAAGCATATGCTGCTGCCGTTGTGTCGCCCGTTGTTTTAACTGTTCAGCAGACAAACAAACGATGTCTCTCTCTCTCTCTCTCTTGAGTCATATGGTCCAGACTGAGTAAACAGGATTGTTATTCTCTCTGTTCCAGATGTCGACTGGTGTTGTCTGTGATTTTCACCAGAACAATTCCTTTAACATAATTATCTTCCCCTCTTAAATAGAAATAAGAAATCATTTAAAAGATAGCTGTCAATATGGTACTGTTTTACATTTCCAGTGAGTGGCCTAGGATTCAGCAGTGATATATAGGCATACTGTGTACATGATCACGCATGATTATCCAGATATATAAGCATCCCTAAACATCACGTTTATGACAGTGACAGCAAATGTGTATTTCAAATATGTCCTTCACACCTTTTATTTGTGACCAATCCAAATGTTTTTTTTTATTTTGGACAAAATGTCAACAAAATATGCAGAAGTATAACTCAAATTTAGATTGTAGTGAATACTGTGGCCCCTGACAGTGGCTTGTAGATAAATGCAGAGTTGCCTTCCAAACTTTGGTGCAGCTGTTGTCCACAACATTATTAATCAGTCCACAGTCCGTCCCAGTCCATTTGACAATTGTCTCAGTCAGCTGGTCAGCTGTAGACATACTCACTGCACTGTGCTGGACACCTGACCTGAAGTTGAAGCCTCCACAAATGCATGCTGGGTGTTGAGATGGTATTTTGGTAAATAATAATTGTAAGACTTGGCCTGTCAGGTATTTGTTATAATAACTTTTAGCTCACAATTGGCATTTTCACTCCACTGCAGGCAGACTTCAGTCTGAATACTGATTGAAACAAGAAAGAATCCCATTGATGATAGAGAACAATTGGGACGCAACACTAGCTAATACAGATGAATTTCATTACTGCAACTGTTTTTTCCACATTGGGCCGTGTTTGTGTGACGGCCGCATGCTGACACTGAGAGGAGACTCTGGTCTCTTACAAAGCAGTCCTTATGTCCTGAGGGCTGAAGGCTGATGTAGGAAGCCAGAGCACCACAGTTTCCTCTCCCTCCACCTTCAGAGAAACAAAGATGGCCGGACACACACTGCACACAGATGGAGTCTTTGTTCAGGGTCACACAAACTTGACCAGCATGCTCCAGTTAATATTTGACCCTACGACAGGTCAGAAAAACAGAGATCAGATCAGACATGAGGTTGAGAAATGGCATTGGTAAATGTCGAATGAATTTACGCCGATTCATAAAAAAAAAAGTTTTAAAAAATATGTTGTTTTATTGCAACCATTGCATGCCTTAGAACCTCATCATGTGGTATGATGAATTTGGTGGAAAAGTTGCATGTAGTAGTTGAATAAATTTCTCCTTACTGTTTGAGACACAGCACACAGGAAACACACGGTAGTCTTCAGTGTGTACATTTACCACATCACCGAACAGCGAGCAGATGAAAATACAAAGTCAAACTCTGTGGTCAGAATGTTCTCATAAAAGCACTAGGGAAATATTCTCATGCAATTGTAACTGTTAGAAAAAATGAAGTTAGAGGATAAAGAGCCACCGTGACTAAATACTGCAAACAGGGAGCTATAGTTTAAATGGAGTGTGTTTAAAAAATGAACCTCATATATCCTCCTTGCAAAAATGCCGTTAATGCCCCTCCACACCCTTTTTTACTCAGCATTTGTCATAATTTGTAGCACTGAAAGATGGAACAGTCTACAACAGTAGATGAATGGAGTTGACATGAGAGCAGGCAGGGCCTTTTTCTGTGCACTTGTGCGTGACTCTGTCGTCAAAAGGCGTGACAAGCTGCGGGGTCATACAGGCGGCCTCGTGGCTGCAGGTATGTGGTTTGTGCTTCCAGGCTAGAGACAGTGACAGATATGTCCTCCTCACAGTTAAGGTAAAGAGACAGTCATGACAGCTCAGAGAGGCTCCCCACTCTGACCCAGGTTACCAGGATCCTTTTACCTGCTCTTCCTGCAGGTGAATGAGGGCTGTTGTTTTTGTGTTCTGTACATGAACTTGGCCTTTGACCCTGAGCAATCCTGGAAATCCCTTTGCATTCACTACACCAGAAGTGTAGCTGTGTGGTAAGGTCACTTCAACCACCTGCACAAACCAGACCAATTGCAAAAATTGGAATTTGAAGGACCCAGTGATCTACCCACATTGACATACTGTATATATATAAGTACTTATACTGTATATATACACTATATATATATATATATTTACACATTATCTGAGTATACTATATACATTATACATTATATACATTACATGACACGTTGAGGTATTAAATTACAATTCATTTACTATTAGAGTTTAGAACTAAACTATATAAAAATAGAATGACATCTATATTTTTAATTAACAAAATCCCAGCTGACAACACAGATGGTGTTTGTCATGTGCAGGATATATTAATGAAATACATGTTGCCCAATGAAAATGACTGTTTACCAGTGATCTACATTGTTTCACATTCCATTTAAGGCGGCACTGATGCGATGCTATCATGTTTTAGGAACAGCTGATTGCCATGTGACCAAACCTGTCATGTTGCCACATGACAGGGTGCCACTGTGGACTCCATGTTTATCTTAATTGGTATGTGTTTGCGGTCATGCATGATAAGATCCTATATTCTTGTATAACAAAACAGGACTCACCCTGAAATGCATTTTCTGAAATTCAAAACTAAATTGAACTGCATTCAATATTTACATATTTTAAATGGATTTCCATAGTTCTATGTTTAAGATAATATTTGAATTTTTCTAGTTGAAAGGCAATTAATTACTGCTGAACAGCCCGAGGCACCTCAACAACTTACTTACCTCTTGGGTTTGTTTTGTAACGTGAAGACACACTGTGTGATTGACGCACAGGAAGATAGCAATCTCAACAATGGGAGGATCACATCCTCATTAACTGTAACAGTTGGGCCTGGAGCCGTTTGCTTTCTTGCCAACAAACACCTAAAGGTAGAGTGAATACAAAAAGTGTGTGTTGATAAGAGGGGGGTAATAAAGGAGACAGTAAGAGCAGTGAATAATGCTGTGAATACTGTTTTCATGTGAATTAGTTGAACTGAAAACAGTGGTTTACAGAAATCTGCTAAATTTGTCATTTTCCTGTTTAACTTCTGGTTCTTGTCTGTACATCAGTGTGTCTTTCTCTTCTGTTCCTCAGATGTTCATGCAGTCAAAACCTTAAGAAAACTTTAAAAACGTAATTTTTTGTATGACCTCATGGACTATAGCTGGCTCCTGATCACATACAGTATCTGATATTATGAGTGACTGGAAATAAAAAGGATTCATCAGAATGACGATGGTTTAGCACTGACAAGATTTCTCCCAATAGGCTTTTTAGCTGAAATGGGAAATATCTTTGCATGTTTCACTGCAAACCCTCATGAATTGTTAATTCCCATCCACACCTTTGGCGCACATGGTGGTTAATGTGCTTGCCTTATGACGACCGGTTTGATGATCGGTTTTCTGGGTGGGTTTTCTTTGGTTTCCTCCCATACTCAAACATGTCTCTACAGTAGTTGCCTGAACACATGGACCTGTTAAAGACTAGTTCACTGTCTAACTGTCTGTTATAGCCAATGACAAGGAAAAGCAGCTTTAATCCAAGAAAAATATGAGGAGGATTCACTTTACTGTGATTTCATTGGTCCTTTCCTTTCTTGAGACTTGACCTTTCTACCCCGGTGTTTTTCATTACCATATATTGCCTGGAAAACATAGTGTACTGTTTGTTATTATAAGTGCTGCAGTGCAGACGGACAAGTTCCCTGTGAAGAATCCTAATGTATGTTATCTTAGTGTTGCATAACAGGCAGATTTTGTCTTCTTCTTATCTTGATTCATCTGGTGCCACTGCTCCTGTAACCTCCATGGAACATCTATTGATGACAGATTGTGCTATCAGTGTTGGGGCCAGGAGCAGAACAGCTGCGCTGATGTAGTGACAAGAACAATCAACTTCACTAGAAAAGATAAAGAAATATGCATGTTAGAACGCAACCATGATGGTAGTCAAGTGACCCAGTGATATGTTCAAAAATAGAAGGACTGGAACGATTCTCAGATGGTGGGGGTCAGTAGAACGGGAATAATAGTGTGACTGTGGTGAGACTCATCTCCCTATCCATACAACACAGCACCTTTGTACCTGTTACATATTTACTCAACTTCTATGGACATAGCTATGAACTTACAAACCTGACTTATCATGCATATATGTTTTGCCTACAGTATATTTATATATACATACATGTTTATATACTTACTAACCTTCCAACACGTTTTAATACCTACCTACATATACAGGAGGTCATGTTGTTTTTTTGGGAACCTTTTACCCCTGAATGGCTCCCAAGTGTTAGTCAGACTCCTCTGTTTTTCTAGATTTTATTATTATTTTATTTTATTTATTAATTTATTATTAATCACGTACCAGCATGTCGACCTATTTACCTGGACTATTTACATTACAACCCTATGTAAAAATTTCAAATCTGTTTTTGCCTATCGGCATCCTTCCATAATGTATCAACTTATTTACCTGTATTTCTTTTATACCAGCTCTCTGCTGTATCTACATTTTTAAGCATAAACCAACCTATTTCTATGCTCTTACTATCTATGTATACCTGCCAACCCGCTCACCAACCTGTCATTTTTACTTCCGTATCCTCTTACAAACAGGCCAACACTGAAGAGGGCAAAGATTATAGAAAGAAACATAATATCTAATTAATGTCTCATGATTCAGATTCCTCTGAAGGCAGCAGTGAACTCCCCGCACTTTGTGTAATAACCTAACAGCTCCACAAGTGTGCGTTTTGCTGCAGGCTTCAGTGGGTAATGATGTTTGACGGCTAAATACGTCAGTGGAGAAATAAATCTTGTTCAGTGATCACTTCTTGCCTCAGGATAACAGTAGAGAGTCGACGGTTCTCTGACTTTTTATCTGCTGCCATGTAGGATTTACTACATTGTTATTGCAACATTTACATTAAAATGACAAGCAGTTTAGGAATTACGTGTAATCTACCATCTGACAAAACTCCCACGTGATGGAGGAGCTCAGTTGCTCTAAACAAGACTTGAACCAACCCTGAGGAATCTACCAGTTTCTCCAGCTCTGAAATGACTGGGAATATCATATACAGTAGTCCCTCGCCTATGGCAGGTGTTACGTTCCAAGACCAGCTGCGACAGGTGAAAACCGGCGAAGTCGAGACGTGATAGTCATTATATTATTTAGGTATATGTTAACCCTTTATGAAGCCTTTATGAGGCATTGTAGGGTGTGAAATATGGCAAATATAACAAATTAACAAAACTCAAAAAACAGGTTATTTCTTGCAATAAAAAATGTGTGTATGTATTATAAAATGTCTTTGAATTTTTTTGTAATACAATTTTTAATCTATTTCTTTTTTGCTATTTTTTTCTTCTTAGGCTAGAAAATGCTGAAAATATTAGAAATGTTCAAATGATAATCTACCGCAAAAACCCACCAGAGAGCAAAGCAATACCAGAATACATTCAAAATATTAGAAAACCTGCGATGCACTGACCAAAATATGAAATAACTATTTCAAGAGTTAGATCTTATATATTTAAGATATATAAGTATATTTGCATTTCAGAAAACAGATCTTTGATTCATATTCAAAATTGTTTGCCTTTAAAACTAAAATGTAAGAAACACAGAGCAGAGCGACTTTTTGTAGTTTAGCCTGATGTACTTTTTAGCAGAACTTTTCTTTCAAAACTTTAAAAACTAATTATCAAACTGACACTATTATTAAGAGGTTCACATGTTAACCTCCTGTCAATCATCCTCCATGCAGGACTGCACATGTAACTCACCTGGTGTTTCATCAAGTTTCTGACGTGTATGAGCCTGTCCACGGAGGCTTCATCCTTTAAATGAAAGGTATAGCTATCACTACTGAGGACAGTTCAGACCAGACAGGACCAGACTTGACTAAGGCAAAAAAGAAGCACTGTGATGTTTTTAGTTGTAAAGTTATATGTTTTTAGGACAAAGGATGATTGGGTATTCAGGCTGTAAAACTCACTGTCCACCCACTGCACTTTAAATCACCGGTTTAAAAACAAAATTATTAGAAAAGTAATGTAGTGTTTGTTAGAAACTTTTCAAATTGCCCTTGAAATTAAAATCAAACAACTGTCAAAAATATTTAATCTTCACAAACTTCAGATGGATTCAAATCAATAGGATTAACAACAGTTTCTCAACTTAAAAAAAAAAACACAAAAAAAAAAACACAAAACTTGTTAAGTAGGACTTGAACCAATCTACACAACCAACCTGAATGCCCAATGTGTCCTCCAGACTGTGTCAAAGACAGCTGTTGGGTCCAACAGAACCACAGTAACACATTGATTTAGTCTGTGGCTAGTAGAACATTATCAGGAATCCTCAACAGAAAACAAAAAAAACAAACAAACCTTGGCCTGAAACTAGAACGTAAAGAAAGGTCGGGCTCAATTATACTGCATCTTAAATATGATCATTTACATATATGTATACACATGTACTGTACTGTAGGTATATGTTATTTCCGTTGGGTTTAGCACCTCGAGTATGTTACAACCAACACAACATGACCAGGTAACAAAGAGCAGGATGTTAAGACAGAGGTCCGTTCTGTCTCAGCGTCTCTGAGACGCCAGTGGTCTCAAGTCAAGCAAGTCATATTTGAAATTCCTCAAAATCAAAACAACATTTCAGTCCGTTGGATCACCTTTGTCTTCATTGATGGACACACTGATACAGGCGTCACCTGGAGTACAGACACTGATCCTGTACAGTCTATGATAGCATAGTTTGCTAAGGAAAGCTATCTTCTATTCTCCTTCAGAGGTGATAGTTAGTTAGCTCATGGACATTATATATTTGTAGAACCTGAAAAGAGGAATAAACACCACCCGTTACTGCTGTGTACTAATGTTGTATACTGTTAAAAAAAAAAAAAATCAGTCCTGTAAGAATTTACATTAGCTAGTGTGTTTGTAGTTTGAGTTTGTTCTCCTGCTTCTCGGGGGGGGGCAAAGTGACAGTTTCATTAATGGGGGAGGCATATCTGATGGGTGTGGTTCTAAATCCTACTTGTTCTACCTCTCACACCTCCTGCACCACACACACACACGCAGGCAGGCAGGCAGGCAGGCAGGCACACCCACTAACTGAGCCCAGAGTACTTTTCAGGCCTGTGGGTGTGAGAGTTGTCAGAGTGTGTCTAACCTCTGCTGCTGGATCATTCACCTTTCATTCATCTGCTGCTCCACTAACATCCAGCCCGCTCTGCTGAAGGAACCATGAGAGGCACCTCCACCAACATGCGGCTCAAGCTGCCGATCACCTGCTTCATCCTGGAGATCATCCTCATCATCCTGTTCTGTGCACTGGTGGAGTATGACAAAGAGACAGATGCAAAGCAGTGGCACAACTCGTCTGATCACAACTACCAGAATGAATTCTACTACCGCTACCCAAGTGAGTCTCTGTGGCCAGAGGTTATATTATCTTATCACTTATCACTGGGTTCTATGTCAAACAGGCTTCTCAATATATGGTTGGTGATAAACAGACAAGTTACAGGAAATAATTAAAAATGAATTAATGCAGGAAGTGAAAGTGAGTCTTGAAACAAATGTGTCAGGATGCTTCATATTTTCAACAGAACAAAGACTCCTTGTTTGTTTTTAAAATATGAATTGCAACAGGACTTGTTGTTGGATGTGGTCCTAGCTGCAGCCAAGCAGAACTCATTAACAGTTAATGAGAACATGGGAAATGATGGGAACCCACACATTCAGGGCAGGTTGGGGTGTTCCTGTAACTGTAGCTGGAAGATCACAAGGGCTGACTGTTCTAACTGATTTAAATGAAGAAAACTGACAATAATGAGACTTAGAATTCTATTTGACTTAGTGAAAAATATGTCAAATGAATCTGGTAAAATGATATGGAAGTCAAATATATGGCAAAACAGTCTGAATTCAATCATGAAAAATATATAATTTGTTTAAATGTCACTCTAGTCTAACTAATATTATTGCTTACTTATGGTAATACTAGGACAAACTGAATGTTTAGAATCTAAGAATGCTAACTCAATATAAACATTCCCAGAAATAGTCTAAAACACATTATAGAAGAAGGAAAAATGTGGTCAAAATGTGAATTTCACATTCTGTATTTAATGGCATAGTCAGTACGACAGAAAAAGTCTTTACTACAAATCTATTATATGTGAATGTTGTATTATGTTCTGTACATATACAGCTGGGATAGTAGGGGTACATCTGTGAAGCAGAGGAGCAGGGGTGGGGCTTAGGGGACATGGGATTCATCACCTACAACTTCAACTCTGTCACAGTCGACTCCTAAAGTCCTTTATGGAAGTGTCTGTGAGGTTGAGCAGACAATAAAACCTCCAGTCATTTAATCGCCCACGTAATGTTTAACTTTGACACATTTCTTGGCCACAGGAGTTGGACCAGCAGCCAGGTGTCCTGTGTCACTGCTCTTTACCCAGAACCCACTGCACATTCTATGCCCTAATTACACAGAATAAAGTGTTGTACAAACAGAAGGGAGGTGCAGGTATCAGTTACAGCTCTGCCTAGTTCATTGGCAGATAGGTGCCTTCTGTCAATGAACTGTGATCATGAAGTCAATAACGGACACACTGACCGACACGCTTTAAGAGATCAGCCGTTCATCCACGTTGTTTCTTTGAAAGAAAACCGCAGTTCCTAATGTCGTTCTTTTGAACCCTACAGCATTGTTTCACTGTTAAATAAATCATCTATCCAAGTGATGGTTGAAGGTTCAATTCCAGGCTCTGCAGATTTCAGATGCAGACGTGACCCTGCATTTGGATGGATACAGGTATACAGTCGATGTGAAGAAAATGCAGTTTGTTATTCAGTGTGAATGAGTGGATGAGGATTTTTAAATGTGAAGGTCCTTGGGGTGTACTAGTACACAGAGTTACTATCATATACATGTATTCCATTACTCCAGTTGTGCTGATGTCTTTTATACATTGACTGGACATTATTCAATATAAAACTGTATTCTCTCCAGTGGCACCGCATGACGTAATACTCAGCATATCTACTCAGCGGTCTCTAAAATTACAGAGATTTACAAAGACTTAAAATGTTTCAGTAAACTCCGAAACAGTGTCCAGTATCACAAATGCACTTATCCAAAATCGAGAGTCAGTAAATGGTCATCACTGAGGCAACAAAAAAAAAGTGGCTTTGTTGTTTGTGATTTGTGGTACAAAATGATCTAAGATACCGTTTACCGAGAATTAGGCTTTGGTTCCACTTCATTGTTTTAAGCACATACTCACAAGGGTTATAGCAAAAAACAATGGTTCAGGACATCGTCATGTACTGTACATAAAGATGTTGTCTGCAAAGAAGGAAGTTTAAATTTTCATGTGTTATGGTAAAACATGGCGGGGGACTTTGGTTATTTGTTGGGCTAACGTATGACAGGGCTTTAGCTTGTCTGGGATGTGTCCCACATTTTAACTATTGGGAAACCAGAGTTAAACCCAACAACAACATAAAAGGTTGTGAAGACAATACATTAGAGAACTACGAAATATACCCTGTGATGTTTCATATTACTGTACATTGTGATCGGTTAGCCCTGTGTGTAGTCCAGATTCTAATCCCTAGGCTTAATGTCATCACCACACAAAGTAAATCACAGATGTAGTGTAGTATAAGTCCAATCAAGAAAGCATGAATGAAGTAAAGAAGTCAAAAATAAGCAGTGAAAACCTGAAAAAACTGACCCTGTGAAAAACCAGTAGGACATCAGTCAGTGTAGTATAACATCATAACAGTCCCTGGGTTTATTGGAACACCAAAGTTTGCTGAGAACAATGTTTTTCTCCCTGTATAGTCGCTGTGGTGTTCATGGTTTGTATTCACATTTTACAGGTTTCCAGGACGTGCACGTGATGATCTTCATCGGTTTTGGTTTTCTCATGACCTTTCTGCAGCGCTACGGCTTCAGTAGCGTCGGGTTCAACTTTCTGATTGCTGCCTTTGCCCTGCAGTGGGCAACACTCATGCAGGGCTTCTTCCATGGAATGCATGGAGGCAGAATCCATGTTGGAGTCGAGAGGTTAGTTCACAAAATATCACTTTCACACATTCACATTTTTGCAATATTTTTAATATATAAAGTCAAAATATCACTTTCACACATTCACATTCTTGCAATATTTTTAATATATCAAATATATATAAATGTGGGTTTTTTTTACCTACTTAAGGTTTAACACAAGGGACCACACTATTAAAATAGTTGCTATTTTTTTCTTTCTTTCTTTTTTCAGCATGATCAACGCTGATTTCTGCACTGGTGCCGTGCTCATCTCATTTGGAGCTGTTCTGGGTAAAACCAGTCCCGTCCAGCTGCTGATCATGGCGATGTTTGAGGTCACGCTGTTCGCAGTCAATGAATTCGTGGTCCTTAGTGTTGTTGGGGTGAGTTTCAGGAAACAGACCTGTTAACTGTGGATAAAATGGAAGCTAGCAAAAAATTGCAATTCCTCATTATTTCCATTTTCTGTTCCATGAGTACAAGGATTAACATTATAGTAATGTGTCCTTTTTCAGGCTAAGGATGCTGGAGGATCAATGACCATCCACACTTTCGGTGCTTACTTTGGTCTGATGGTCACGAGAATCCTGTATCGACCCAACCTGGACAAGAGTAAACACAAAAACAGCTCCGTGTATCACTCCGACCTGTTCGCTATGATTGGTAAACAGTTTTATAATACATATTCATTTTAATGTTTTGTGATGTAATTTGACTTTGTGGGTCAGGGAATGTAGAACTGTAGTTTTTAGTGAATGACAAAACAGTTTTGATGAATACTCCCAGGAACTCTGTACCTGTGGATGTTCTGGCCCAGCTTCAACTCTGCCATCACGGCTCACGGAGATGACCAGCACCGCACAGCCCTGAACACCTACTACTCTCTGGCAGCCTGCACTCTGGCCACCTATGGTTTGTCCTCCCTGACGGCTCACGATGGCAAGCTGGACATGGTGAGATAGCAATGAAAGGACAGCAAAAACTGAACAGAACGATAGTTCAATTCAGTGGAGACACTGTATGAGCCACAGTTTTGCAAAAAAAAAAATAAAACATTTGTGACCGTTGATTTGTTACCATTCTATTGACAGAATGATTACTGTGTGCTTAAAGCGGAGGTCACCTGAAGCTATAGGAGTCAGTGTTGTATCAGAGCTGTCAGTTCAGTCGTGGTACTACATTCCTGCACTGATGAATATCAAACACGAGAAGAACAAACAGCGGGTGTGGACATGCCTCACATTGCAGCGTGTGATAATTATCAGTTAATGGCTCCACTTGTGGAGTCAGTGACGGTTTAAAAGTTCATGTTGATTTTGCAGCCAACAGTTACATTTACAGTTACAGTTGTTTAAAAGTTCATGTTGATTTTGCAGCAAACAGTTACATCATTTCCTGCTATTTTATTTAGATAAAATATTCAGATAAATGTTGACCTAGGGTAAACATGTACTGTGAAGTATGAGTTAAGTAATTTTCTCATAGCCATTAGCCAATTTTGGGAGCCATTTTGGTTGTGTTTGTCTATCTTTTGGTTACCTATTAGCCCTTCATGGGAATACTATTTCCTGTTTTGCTTTATTTGTGGCCAACGTTTGGATGTCTTTTGGCCAATAACAGACTAGTATTAGGGTACATCTTACCAATTTGGTTAACCTAATGGGCTTAAGATAACTTTACTCCTTTTCAGCCAAATCTTTGGTTTACTTTTTCCTATATTTTGGCTAGCTGTTAGCATTTTGGCCAAACGTTTACCAACCTATCCTAATAGAAATTTTGATTATCTGGTATGAAGTAGTGAAACACTTCTGTCTGTTGTCTATGCTAAACTTGAATTAACAGGAATATTAAACACATTAGGTTGACTGGAAACTACAACTACAACAACAGCAGCATATAAATACTTCAAACTAATTTTCCTCTTCAGGTCCACATTCAAAATGCGGCCCTGGCTGGTGGAGTTGCAGCAGGAACGGCTGGTGAAATGATGCTCACACCTTTTGGCTCGATGATTGTGGGTTTCCTGGCTGGAGTCATCTCTGTCCTGGGCTATAAGTACCTTTCGGTAAGAATGTACAGGATGATATTAGTGAATTTCACAGCTACACACAGAAGTGTAAAATCTGGCGTAGCCACATGTTTGACTCATGGAACCATAAACCCTCTCTCAGCCAATCCTGGAGGACAAACTGAAGATCCAAGACACCTGTGGGGTGCACAATCTGCACGGCATGCCTGGGGTGTTGGGAGCAATTGTGGGGGCAGTCACTGCTGCTCTGGCATCTGTGGACACTTATGGATCTGGGTAAAACTTACTTAATTTAAATAATCTCATAATAGTTTTTAAACATTGATCTATATAACCTGTAGTTATTAGGCACAGACATGATAAACATTCAGTTTTCTCACCTGTTTGTACATATTTCAGTATGGAAGATGTGTTCCCTGATGTGGCCAGTGGAGAAATCCAGGCGTTCTCCCAGGGTGTCCGTCAGATTATTGCCCTTGCCGTCACCCTCGGCATCGCCCTGGTTGGTGGGCTTATTGTTGGTAGGTGTCTTGTAAATGTTTGTACTTTAGAACATATTGAGTGTTTAATCCACTGCTGCCACCATGAGTACATTCTAATGTCATATTCTTTTTTTATATTTGCTTTTTTGACACAGACTGAAATGACCAATGGGTTCATTTTGAATTATACATTTGTTTTTACTCTGAAACTCTAAACACTGTAGACGTAGGAAGTTCTTGTTGTTGTTATACGACCATTTAGTTTGAGGTTGACATATTGGGTACTCCACAAAAACAGCCATGTTGTCAAAAAATACCACAAAGAAGAAGAAAAAAACAACTTTCCAAGGTGTTTTTAACATTCTAATAAAAACATAATGCAACTTCTTTTCTCTCACCAGGTTTTATTTTAAAGCTTCCTATCTTTGGTGCTCCCCCAGACACCATCTGCTATGAGGACAGCATCTACTGGGAGGTGAGTTAATGGGTTACTAACATAGTCACACTTTTTATTTTAAAGTATAGACATTTTTATTTTACAATCATTTCCTGAAATAATACCCACAAAACAAACGCGTTTATTAATTACCTACGTATCACTTACAAAAAATAGGATAAAAACTTTATATATATAATATTTTATATATAGAAAGAGCTATAGACTTCATATACAATTATATAAGTAAGATGCAGAATAAAGAATTATCACGCTCTTACTGAAGAATGTAGCAACAGTGATGTTGCTAAGTGACCACCGGATGGCAGACAAGAACCATCACAACACACAAACAGACCTGACGGGGTCCTGGGGAGCCATCTCTCCTGTAATATCAGTGCAACAGACACAGTTTGAATTCTTCCACAATGCGATGCCAAACAAAACCCAGTTTTGGTCCTTGTTAGGACTGATGGTCTTTAGGAATCAGCCCTGGTCCGGGGAAGGTGACAAAAACGAGTATAGAGACTCACGTGTAATAACATTCGATCTTCTTATATGATTCATAACATTTTTAATACAATTGAAATACAGTTGAAAGAGTTGACTATGTAAGTGTATATATATAAATACACACAATATATAGTATTCTAGTGTTTTATAATATATTTTTAACTCATTCGTTGTTCTCTGTATCATCGGTTTAGTAAACTCTTTGATTAAGGTCTACTATGGTGCATTTTAACTACATTAGTATTTTTTTATCATTAAATTTATTATAAAAAATATTTATTTTGCACATGAACCATATAGGAAAATCAATAACAACTTCTGTATTTCAGGTGCCTGAAGAAGAGGAAGGTCATGGGAACCAGCTGACTGCTGTGAGGGTGTCTGAAGAGACTAAGAAGCTCAACGCATAGACACAAACACACACACACACACACACACACACACACACACACACACACCGAGACGCACATGTAGACAAACACTGGTATTTACAATCAATAGGTCATTTAAAAACAAACATTTGAAGTTGCCCAATTTCTTACTGACACCCTCCTAATGACCACTAGAGGTCGGTGAGTAGCTGCATCGGCTGCTGTGGTACCTGATGTCTCTCTCCTTCATTACTGGCCCAGAAAATAGTCACAGCATCTAATGACCAAAGACAGCAAATGTTATTCCATATTATATGGAAAATAACAATGTATTTTTTTTAAATATTTCATTATATTTTAATATAGTGGTGTATGTTATGGACAGAGTGTGTATCAATTTCCTTTTATCAGGTTTGGGATTTTCTGTGCATTTTATATTTTATATTATATCTGATATTTTATATATCAGCTTAGTGAAAAAACTGATGGTGGTTAACTCTGACTGAATCCAGATCAGTAGAACAGGTCGTGATCCAAGTGGGAGGGGCTTTGATTCTTCGTGCTCATCATACTCAGTCTCTCAAGTGCCATTCTAAATGCCTCAATAACTGCTGAGTCAGGAACGGCGTCCTGTGAAACAACGTGCATAACGTAATGTTTTTAATTTTTGAAAGAGAATATTAATGACAAAACGACCTGGACCATGAGTAGAGAGGGTGAAGAGGCTGTGATATTAACGTAATACACGTTAAGGGCCTTGAGAAGGGTTTTTAGAGGAATTAATTGATAATTCTGTTGGCAATTATGGGGTGAACAGGAGTCAAAAAGTTGATCTAGTGTCATGTTTTTGCATTATTTTTTGTGCGTTTATTAATACGTTTTGGCCCCAAAGTGAATGTTGTAAAAAGGTCAGTGTAAAAATATAAAGATGATTCCAGTTCTATTAAAAAAAACGTGTATTTATTTTTCAATGATGTTCTGGCCATCATATAAGTCACATGATCAGCCGTGGGCCGGACTTTGGACTTGCCTGCCTTTAAGGTTCTTTTGTTGATGTGGTTTTTCTTTCACAAATCTCCTCAGGATTACAAATATTTGCCATGTGTAGAAAACCTTGTCTCTGATGTCATTTCATATGCTGCAGATTAGAGGGCCTTGTCAGTGTAGTTATTGTCAGGGTATTAAGCCCCCCCCCAATCTCCCACTGCCCCACCCCCCCACAACCACTGTGCCTGCAGAGCTGATAATGTTGCCATGATTTCACCTCATTGAAATCATTAAAGTTAGTTAAGAGATAAATTTCAAACTGTAGTTTTTTTTTTTAGTTTTTTCCTTTTTCTCATCACAGATGATTTTTTTATCACCTCAGCACATTTATAAAGCTCAATTCTAAAGTTATTAGCATATCTTAATCATGTCCTTCCTGTTAGCCCGCCCTCTCTCTGGCATTAATCGCCCCTCATATCGAGGGCCCCTCTGCAGGCTGCAGGGGCCTCGTCTCCCCTCCTTCTCCCTCCTTCCCTCCCTCCTCTCCTCTGCTGATCTGATGATGGTGGTACCTCGGCGTGAACAAGTGCTGCAGCGTTTTCCCAGGAACCAGGAGACAGGTGGACAGCTGTTTACTCAATAGGCGCTCATGCTCAAGAGCTTAATTGAGCACCATAGGGCTAATTAAAATGCAGAGAAAAATAATCATGATTATGGTAATCATTCTATTGTCTCTAACACGTCTTCTGCTGACGTGCTTGTTTGGCATTGTACCTGCAAGATGCAGAAGACAATTAAAAGTTATGTAAATAAAGGGAAAAAATATCCCTGTGCTAGTTTCATACCACAGGGTTCATTATACCGCTTTAAATGATCGTGTTAATTGTTTAAATTTCTACTGCTTAATAACAGAGCTGCAGCATCCGGCTGTTATAACATGTAATTAAGTCGCACCAAATGAATTGTCTTTCGAGGTTTTGATCTTAATGGTCGTTTGAAATGGTAGCATTAGAGAAGGATTATATAACACAATAAAAAACATTTGCAGTAATGGTAATATTAACCTGGCTACAGATTGGGTTCCAGCACTCTAAAAAGTAACTTAATCATATTTTCAGTCAGTTCACTACACCTACTTAAAAACTATGGATGGATACATGCAATGATACAGTATCCAGAGCGTACACATGTGGCTGAGTTTTTCTCTGATCATGACAACTTCTAATGTTTGGCTGACTTGGCAGCCATGCACATTTAGCAGGTGTTTCTGCACTGGCCTCAGTGGATAGAGATTATTGTTCTGGAGCTCATCACTGCAGGCCTTTCTCTCTTATTTATTCAAATTTGACCTTTGCCTGTTAAAAAAACACCTAATGTCTTATAATATGTGATGGTTAAATTGTTTCCCTATCAAATGATTAAATTAAAAAGTAATGTAATTTAGGTAATATACTTTTCTGCAAATAGAGTATTCTGTGTTTTGTATCTGATTACGTATTTCTGTCAAATACTCTAAGATAGATTAAGACTTTGATACCTCCTTTGAGGACGAAAGTCAAAGTTGGATTTTTAATAGAGGCTTTATTCATGCCTGTGGTCTGACCTTACAAGGTCATTTCTATCATCACCCCCCCCCCCCCCCCCCCCCCCCCCCCCACCCTCTTTTTTATATTAAA